GGAGAGGAGGAGGTGGAGGACAAGGGGGAGGGAAGGGGGTGGAGGGCAGGACTACTTCAGCCCCTCTACCTCTCCCACCTCCTCCCCCAGACCTCTCCCCTCCATCTTCCCCCTCCCCTAACCCCAAGACTGCAGGGTTTCCCATACACTTTTCCCTGCTTGCTGATAGGTTGGGTGGGGGGATTATTTATTTACCTTTTTGCAACAAGCCCACCAAAAGTGCAGAATCTGTGCTTTTTCCACAGAGCCCACCCAAAATTACAGTTTCTGTGAAAATAGCACAATTGCAATTTTGGTAGGTCCCTAGTTATATCATAACAAAATATGCTGCTTAAATATAACATTAATATGTACTCAACTGAACTATAGAAGTAGATGCATCAGTTCTACTTCCTCCACATCAGGACTGTATTATTTGTATAGTTATTAATTTATGTTTATTTCTTAAAACAAAAACCTATTCTAAAACATGAATTCTCCTACCTTGCTCTATGACAAAATTTTAGAGATATCAACCTTACTTCTTAATCTTATCTAATATGAGAGAAATCCTTGGGTAGGTTTTAATTTCAAGTTAAGTTTTTCATTACTGGGTGCCACAGAAGAATGGAACTCTTTGCCTTTAAATGTTGACACACATTTTTAAGTCATTTACATAAAGAAAAGCAACCATTTTTAGCTGGAAGACTAAAAAATACATTGCATAACTTAAGTGCCCCTAAATGACAACATGCTTAAGTTTTATATCATCAGTCATCAGGTTTTCAGACACATGAAATGATGAAACCAACTCAACTGGAATTATGTAACTGATCTTTGCCCTACTAAGAAAATGCATACATTATTACGCTAACTTAATTACTCTTACATTGCCACCGAGTCACACTGTGCCTTGCCCTGAAGCCCAAATACATAAATGTGGGTGAGAGTTGACAAAAGAAACAACATTCCTGCAACTGCCTAGTACCAGAATCCAAGACAACTCTGAATTTAAGACAACCTCCAATACTTAGTTTCTATGCATGGAAAAACTACGTTTGTTATAATTGTCCGTGTATAGATTCTAATTGTTGAAGAGTCATTTAAAATTCATTTTAAATTCAAATTTAGCAATTACCTGCCTGGTGCCCGCTTCCCTTGCCACTTCCTCCCCTTGCTTTCACTTACCCTGCAGCAGCTTCAGCTGTCCCCAGGCTCTGCCCAGATAGCAGTGGCACTGGCAACAGCAGCTCCAGCCCTGGCCAGGTCAGGACCAGAGCTGCTGCAGCTCCCCTGCATGCTCCCTGTGCCACATAGCACATTCTTCCCCACAGTCACCCCCGACATCTTCCCTATGTGGTCCCCTCCACCCCCTAGTCTCCTCCTGCACTCCTCCCATGGTCTCCTTTGCATCTCCCAACCCCACCCCACACCACACAGTCTCCCCAGCTCCCCCCATCTTGCACTGCGCTGTCTCCCTACCTGCCTCCCTCCAACTCTGAGCAGACTCCCCAGCACCTTCCCTCCCTGCACTCCCCACCACTGTGTGGTCTTCCCCATGCTCCCCCACTGCACAAGCCACCTCAACCTGATATAAGTATATCAGGGGTGTGCATCAGGATCTGGGAGAATGTCTGTTCACCTGGGCACCAAGGAAAGACAAGGTCCAATGGTCACAAACTGCTGGAAGACAAGTTTTTCCATATGCCCAACCTAAAATACTTTACCATCTGAGTCTCCAGAGTCTGGAATAGACTCCCCCTAGAAGTGGTGCAAGAATCTGACCCCAACTGACTTCCTGCCCTTTGCACAGGGGCTGGACTCAATGATCTCATGAAGTCTCTTCCAGCCTTAATGTCTATGAAATCTATGAAACCCACCCTGGCCCCAGCAAGACAGCAGCAGCAGCTCCAACCATGGCCCTCAAATACAATGCAAGATCCTTCTCCCCACATTAAATACGGAAAAATCTTCGTCTTGGATTTGAGTAAATATAGTACATAATAAAGTTAGGGTGGGCACTATGAAATTATGTTCCAATAACGCTTCAAATAATTCTTTTTCTCCAAGCTTCATATCATACTATTCCTAAAACATGGCGTAGGCCAGATATATGATACAATCTCTGGTCAGGGATGTAAGGAAGTGGGGTTTGTGACGACCAAAGCTGTGTTGGCAAAAATGGATAGCATCGATGTGTTTTTATCATACATTTTATTTTAATGTACTGGAAAGAACAGGGTAGGGTATGAAACAAGTGCCAACAGAAGGGCAGATTTATTGGTATAAGTCACACCTACAGTAAAAGTGTTTTGCTAGTACAGTCAACTGGTATAACTATCCCACTGAATCAATCCCAGTATGGGCCTGTCCTCACACTTCATGATGTTCCCCAAACAGAATGTTGAAACCAGACCTTTTCAAAGGATAAAATTCACTTTTACCTGCAGAGAGACAATGTAATCAAGCAATCAAGTAATTAGGAGAAGGAAACAGGCCAGACTACAAGGTGAATGGTAGCCATTGCTCCTAATATCCCTTACTCAGATTCTACACACTGCAACCCACTGCCCCTTCTAGACAAGACCTGTTCCCAACCTGCAAAGAGCTCTCTTCCTGACAAGCTGCGATAAGAAATTCTCTAGCCCAAGGCTCAGCAACATTTTCTGACAGCAGGCTAGAATCACCCAGCTCGGATCTAATGCTAGGACCCTACTGCTACCACAGTTTCTCCCCAGGCCACTTCTTTTTGCCACTTAGCTGCAGTGTAGCACAGGCAAAGTCCCTGCTCCACTGAATGCCAATGAAGCTCCCAGTCCATGAGCTTTATGGGTTGACAAACCCCGATCTAGCCCATCTGCTTGCTCTACTCCCCAGAACCCACATCAGGCAGAAGAGCACCATAAAATTTAGATGGTACACAGGGCTTTGGATAATTTGTATCACTATTACACATAGGTTTACCATGTTATTTCAATATGACAAGCAAGCCCCAACTGAATAGAATAATCAAAAAATAAAAACTTGGTAAAAGGACTACCCCCTGCTCCAAGTATAGCTACATTAAACGATTCAGCAAATTAATGTAATATAGGCTGATGGGGTGAAGGGAGGATGAGGCAACACTAATAAGAAGATAGGTATACAGGCTAGTGATGCAAGAAATGTAGTTCACCATCTGCCAAGTTTTAACATGTAGGGTACTCTAAGTTTCATAGCCGGCAGCTGATAAAACACTGTAGGGAAGAAACAGCTACCAATGAAGGAAGGTAACAAACTGACAAGCAATGAAGGCTGCTTTAGCAGAAGCAGCATGTAAAATGGATTTGAGGAAGGCAAGGATCCAAAAAATGAGATTACAGTAGTCATGATGTAAGAAAAGACTGGACATGGAGAAAGGGCTAGATGAGGGTCAGATTATTTTGATTCAAAATTGCTTTTGAATGAGCTGAAAACTGCCTTTTAAAGCAAAAACTCTCTCCTTTCCTCACCCAACCACATATGCCATTCAACTCAACATTTAAGAGCAGCTCCTGGGGCTGTCCAGGGGCCCACAGGACCAAAAAGGTTGAGCACCACTGCTCATCTGTGTCATGCCCTTCACCAGGATTGGCGCCCGATCTTCTAGCATACAGGGCTATGCTACCTGCCCCACAGGAGCTCTGCACAGGCCTGGAAATCTGGCAGCAGGGGAGCAGCAAACTTTTTCCGTCACCAAATTTTCAAACCTGTGGGCAGCCCCACAGGCCAAAAAAGAGGCTCTGGGAGCTGGGTCTGGCCCACAGGCCCAGCACCCCCAGTCTAGAGTGAGTAACCTCCTATTAGAAAACGTATCATTGAGGTTAAACTGCCTGGCTGATATTTTCTTCAATTCAGCCAAGCACCCCAAAAGCCACACAATGGGTAAACCCAGGCTCTTGTCCTGACTGCTTTCACTCAAACCAGCACCCACATCTTGAGGTGCTGTTTAGCCCCGGGGACCTGTTCCCGCTCGTTGCTCCTGCTCACTGCCCGGAGCTTTTCTTAGCTTACCGGCCGGGCAGCAAAAAACGGAGCAGGGGGAGGAGGCCGAGCTCCATCCTTCCCAATGTGTCCTGGGGGTTTAAGACCAACCCTCCGGCCCCGGCCCCGCAGCGGCAAGGGCCGCGCTGCCCAGCACCTGCCGCGGCTGCAGCACTTCCCCCCAGGGAACCGCGGGCAGCACCGGGCGCGGGGCAGGGCCCGCGGCGGGAGGGCCTGGGGTCCAGGCGCTGCCCGCCCCGCGCTCACCCGTGCTGCGCGGCCTCCTGGCGTCGCTTGTTGAGGAGG